CCAAGTAATTTTCTGTCAGACATCTTGTAACTAATTAGGCATGAAGACTTGGGATTCTCAGAATGTTGGGCTGGGTTTTAGCTCAGTAGTTCCCCTGCCTGCTTTACAAGCACAAAGTCCTGAGTTTGATCCTCATACCCCACCCCCAAAATCAAAATGTTACAATTTAGCTCTAAAGGTTATATGACTCTTTTTCTTCATAGTTGGAAAATATTGGCAACTTTATTAAAGCTATCCAGGCTTATGGTATGAAGCCACATGACATATTTGAAGCAAATGATCTTTTTGAGAATGGAAACATGACCCAGGTTCAGACTACACTGGTGGCTCTAGCAGGTCTGGTACGTACAAGTCCTTCATAGTTGGTTAAACAGTTGCCTGCCCATAGGTGATGAATTGCATAATTGCTCTCTTGTGGGTGCTCAGAGCAGGTAGGGGAGGGTCCTGTCTTTTCTGTGACTATTAGTTTCGTGGAAAGGCTGTTGACATCAGCTGCCTCGTTCTAGATGGGCTGATTAGAACCCTCACATTTTAGAGGGTACAGTGTATCACTTAAACTTGTTTCATACCTCTAGTTTCTTCTTACCCAAAGTAGCCTATGTTAATAGACCTTTCTTTTGTTCCCTCTGTAAAGTCTGTGGGAGAATATCTGAATATTCCTTCTCAGTTGCTGTATGGTTTTCTGTCCAGGCTAAAACAAAAGGATTCCACACAACTACTGACATTGGAGTTAAGTATGCAGAAAAACAAACAAGACGTTTTGATGAAGGAAAATTAAAGGCAGGCCAAAGTGTAATTGGTTTGCAGGTAAGTGTTGCTTATTCAATTACTCAGTCTCAGTAATTCCTGCCATGCAAAATGTTAGTTCTCTCTCAAAGTAAGTGTGGGTAAAAGTACTCTAGTGTAGATTTTTGGATGGACCCATGGTTTATGCAGTTTAGACCTATTTGAAACCTGCTAAGCGATGATGGTTTTAGAGGAAACGTTGGTATGCTACCTGACTTGACAGTTGCTTCTTTAGGAAATGAAGTTTTTCTAATCATATTGTCTTTTTTCTTTTTTAAAGAAAATAATACTTTAATTCCTGTTATTAAACAAATAAAATAACTTTACAAAATTTTAATGCCAAAGTAATTTTACTTATGCTGATAAAACATGACACAATATCTAAGCCCTGCTGAAATTTGTATTTAATTCTTGGAAAATACTCTGATAAGTGAAGTTTTTCCTTTCACATTGTTCCCCCGGAGAGTCACCAAACAATCATCGCTAATGCCTTTAATGCTATAGGCTTTGTCTTCCAACCCGCTTGATACATTGCCCTCTCTTGACTGAGTCTGTGTGAGGTGAATTTATGTAAGATGTGGGAAGTTGGAAACCTGAATTTTCAAACAGTAGTCAGTTTGCTAAATTGCAACTCATAAAGGAACCTGTAATATAAAAATAAACTAGTGTTTTAAAGATAGCTTAAGGCAAAATAAAAAAAGTCGGTTTTAAAATTCTGTGATCAATGTCATTTTTTAAAATTTAAAACAAGTGCGTATTTTTGTATGTAAATGTGTTTATATGTGTAGCCATAGATACGTGCACAGGCCCATAAGGTAAAAATCCTTAAAGGTTTTTTCAGATGAAAGCAAGTCTGGATGGTACTATTTAAAATTCTTTTTCTTTTTTTGCTTATATAGGGTTTCTGAATCTCACAGGTTATGCTTTTAGTAATAGAGAGTGTACTGGTTGGTCCTGAAGCTATGTGATTCTCAGTGGGGAAGGGAAGTCACTGCTTTTCCAAATTTGGTTGTATTCAGATTCCTCATTCTAACTCTTTCTGGTTCTGGCCAGTATAAAATGTGGCTTCCTTCCCATGAAAGTGCTAATGATTTTAAACTTAAAAGAAATGCTTCTAAAATCCTGGCAAAAGTTCCTGGCATTTGCTCTCATATTTTATGTAAACTGTAGCTGAGGCAGAAAGCAGCATATTGCCTGGCCTAACATTGCTTATTTTGTTCATCACTGAAGCTAGGATCCCTTAATTTGGTTATCTGTGGTTCAGAGAATAGGGGAAAGAGTAGCAGGGAAATTATGTATAATTCTGCCACTGAAATACCATTGTATCTGTCTTTCCATCTCTTCATGTGTGCAAGTTTATGTTCATTATGCTGTGAGGTTCTATTTTCTTTTGGGGGGGGGACTTTCCTTTTAAAATTAGCACTTGAAAATATGTTTTTAGTTCCACCCCTTCTTTTTTTGGTGGTGGTGGTGCTGCAGCATTGAACCCAGGAGTCTGTGTGCTAATAAGTACGCGTTCTGTAACTGAGGTCCGTGCCCAGCCCTCTCTTCCATCTTTGTAGTAGCACATAGAGTTTTATGTTACATGTTGTTGACTTCTGATTATTTAGTGCTAATTTTATTTTTATTAAAAGATGGGAACAAACAAATGTGCCAGCCAGGCAGGTATGACAGCCTATGGAACTAGGCGGCATCTTTATGATCCCAAAATGCAAACTGACAAACCTTTTGACCAGACCACTATCAGTCTGCAGATGGGCACCAACAAAGGAGCCAGCCAGGTAAGCAGTCACTTCTCATACTTGTGGCAAGAAGTACAAAGGGGCTATTTTAAATTAGCACTTACGATCTGGACATGCTGGTGCACACTTGTAGGTCCAGCACTTGGGAGGCTGAGGCAGGGGGATCACCACAAGTTCCAGGCCAACCTGGGCTACATAGTGAGTTCAGGGCCAGTCTGAATTACGTAGCAAGACCTTGTCTCAAAAACTAAAAAATTAGCACTTATTAACTGGAACTTCAAAGTAAGTATTTTTATATTGTGTATTGAGAGTGTATACTTTAGGAAAGTAGATTTTTGCTGAGAAAGGAAAAGACTCAAAGGACCTTTCCTACAGCAGTGAAAGTGGGTGTGGTTCATGGGGTTTTGGGAGGGTTTGAACAGCTGGCTTTTCTACTTAACTAAAGAAAAAAGATTGCTCATTTAAATGCTGGGATTTTCTTCTCTCATTTTAAAAAGGAATCTTAAAGGTGGTAAAATTATCTGGTGTTCTACTAAGAACTGTTCAACTAGCATTCCCTATGAAATGTTAAATTCCCAGGGGCTAAAAATTCCAAAGATGCTAGTTAAATAGTTCTTAGGTAGTAGGTGGAAATAGGTGGAAATGGAGCATGATAAAAATACCAGAGTTCTAACACTGAATCCAAGGTAGAAGCACTGTATTTCCTTGTTAAAAATACATTGACAGGGCTGGGGATTTAGCTCAGTGGTTCTGCCGCCTGCTTTGCAAGTGCAAGGTCCCGAATTTCATCCCCAGTACTCCCTCCAAAAATGAATAAAATAAAAAATACATTGCCAGTACCTCAGGCTGAGTTCCAATAACCATTTGAGAGAGAGAGGATGGTTCCCACATCCAACCAAAGTGAGGATAAGGTTTGAAAATGCTTTTTCTCAGTGATCCAAGATGAAATTTCTAATTATTTGTGTGGCATTGTGTTTCTCCTAGCTGCCATTTGAACTTGCTTTTTCACCCACCTTACAGCTTAAAGTATGTGATTGCTGTAAGTGGGAGACTAATGTATGAGTTACAGTATTCTGAAAAGGGGCATGTTGGGGCTGCTGCTCTGAAGTGGTTAGCTCTCAGCCCTTTGAAAAGAATGTATTTATTATAAATGTTTAAAATTGGTTAGTTAGTGCACATGGTCATGATGGGTGGTCACATGTAACTTTTAAGTGTTCCAGCATTATGCTTTGATTTTACATTCTGTCTGATTCTCTTCTAAATCTAAGATATAGTGTTGTCTCCATACTATATGTGAGAAACCTAAAACTAAAAGTTAACTTGTCTGAGGCTGCATGGCATCTTGTAATAGAGAAAAGATTTGAAGGAAGGTCTGAGTTAGCTTGAAAACCAGTGAATTTTGCTTCATAAAAGTAGTTTGATATCAGCATATTTTGGTAAGGTAGGTTTACCCCTGAACCAAATGAAAATTATGTTGGTGTTCATATTCAGTGTGAAGCTCATAATTTATAGAATACTAACAAGAATAGATTTTAACTTGTCATTTCAACTTTTATACTATGTTCTTACACTGTGTTCTAATACCAGGCGGGGATGTTAGCACCAGGTACCAGAAGAGACATCTATGATCAGAAGCTAACATTACAGCCAGTGGACAACTCGACAATTTCCCTACAGATGGGTACCAACAAAGTTGCTTCCCAGAAAGGAATGAGTGTGTATGGGCTTGGGCGCCAAGTATATGATCCCAAATACTGTGCTGCTCCCACAGAACCAGTCATTCACAATGGAAGCCAAGGCACAGGAACAAATGGGTCGGAAATCAGTGATAGTGATTATCAGGCAGAATACCCAGATGAATATCATGGCGAGTACCCAGATGACTACCCCAGAGATTACCAATATGGTGACCAAGGCATTGATTATTAGATTCACACAGAGCTCAGTATTTAGTCCATTGTTTTTATTCAGTGAGAACCAAGCTAGCCTTGAGTAATTTTTATCTTGTCTTCCTAAAACACTATTATGCTTATTGTATCTTTAAAAAAAAATGCCTTACATACATTCCTTTTTCCTTTCTCTGCCTCTTCCCTAAATAGTTGCCTTTTAGTGCTGTAACAGTTAAATCCTACAGCATAACCAGTAACTTGCATATGAAGTAAAAAGGAATACTGTGAAAGGGGAGTACTCTTGTACAGCCAGTTCTTTATAAAAAAATCTATGCATTTTTACAATCTTATACTTAAACTGTTATTTTCAAACAATAGGAAATTTTCTTTTTTACAGTTTGGTGCATCTGGTTTCTACATGGAAGACTAAACTCGTGCTTATTGCTAAATGTGGTCTTTGCCAACTAAATCTTAAGATGCAGCATTTTAGAATTTTACATATCAATGTTTCTACAGTATTGTTTGCTAATTTTTAAATAAAGTCATGATCAATGTGCATTTGTGATTATATGTGTACTCATTCTCTTAAGCTGACGAGATTTTTTTCAGAGTGGCCTTTCTATAAGGAGCATGTACAAAAATGGCTTGCAGACATTTAGGTCTGGGTGGTGCAGTTGCAAAATCTTCGTTTGTGCCAATGTATCATTGTAGAGTTGCTCTGTTTTTTTCAACTGTATTTATTGCTGCACTTCTCAGCATAAACTTATCCCATTGTATTTTTTATAAATAAATATGTTTTTTGATCATTCATATGAGCCACAGGCTGATTCTTTTCTGGCTGGCTTCCAAGTAGATTAGGAAATTTAAAAAGTACTCTTTCCTGAGTGCTGTGATAAGGTATTTTAACATTACTTCTCTACACAATACTACTCTATGCTTAAGGAGATTGAGGCTTAGAAAAGTGAAGAGTAAAAGGTAGCCAGGGATTATCTGACCCTTACTTATTTCACTGTGACTCGGCTGCCCCAGATTTATCTTAAATTCATCTTGGAATAAACATCCCCTTGAAGAATACTTGTGGGAGTATATGTATGTGGTGGGATTTTATGTATATTACCCTAGGGTAAATATGAATAAGAAATATACTGGATTAGAAACAGATTTGCTATTTGATAAAGTTAGAGTTATAGTAACTAAACCAGTGATGGTGAACCTTTCAGAGACAAGTGCCCAACTTGCAACTCAGAACCGACTTTCTGCAAAATGGCAACACTGCAATTAAACCTGAATACTGAGGTTGTCATTCAGAAAAAACAACTCATACATTAACATCTTTTGTCTTAAAAGAAAAACAACGTGTGCCATAGGTTTGCCAGTTGTGACAGAGAGGTGGTCAGAGAACAGCTAAATGTTGAGAAGAATACAGTCACCAAAGGAAATTGGCAGTGACAACATTGTATTAACAATGATGTATTAACAAGTGTTTTCTTTTGATAGAACTGGTCCTGCCTGTTGGGCTTGGAGGTAAAAATGTGCCTGTTTTTTGGTGAGGCCAATAAGGAGGGAACATTTGTCTGACTTGATGAATTTACAAAAGCAAAGCTTACCATTCTACAATAACTCAGTTTAATGCTCTGTAAATCCCTTATAGGAGACTAATGAGCTAAACTAATTCAGTGGTACTGTTCAGGGAAAAATTTGCATTTAAAGTAGACCTGAATTGTCAGGCCGTTTCTGGTCATCTCTGAAGAAGCATTTAGGAAAGGGAAGGAAGCCTCCCATCGTACTACCTCCCCTTCTCCCTAAGTCAGATTGACCGACCCTCCCATTAGCGGGGAGTGGGTGATTCTGCCCAGCCACCTAACAAATGGGGCTGCTGGTCAACCTGTCAAATGTTCTAAAGCTTTAAGAAGGAAAAAGTTCCCTCTCTCCACCATTTGAATATTGGGTGGGGTCCTGTAAAAGTATTTTTCAAAGTCTTGGCAATTCTCAGATGTGGCTGTGGGTGAGATTGCCCATTTGTAAGAATGCCTCCTGCTTTTAACTAGCTAGGTCATGTACAGTTAAGCTTCTGCCTGTCTCCTGTATATTACCAGTTCCAAATAAGAGGCCAAGATGTTCAGGTTTTATCTCACCAAATTTAAGAACTGTACTCTGAAAAGTCAACATATTTAGCTAATTTCCAAGATTGGATGAATAGGAAATTGCTGTCCTGTACAAGAGCAATGTTCCAGAGATTTCTGCTGACAAAATCCTTTTTTTTTTAAATTTTTTTTACTGTTATACCTTCACAAACTCAGATGGGCTTTTACATACCACGCTTAAATTGGTGCATGTAAATATGGTTTTAAATGTTTATGTCCTATGAAAACAACTACATTTTAATGTTCAGTATTTTGACAGTGGCAAAAACAATGAAGATGAAGGTCTCTCAGGTCTTTTATTCTGTCAGTGGCTCTGAAGGTCACTTTCCTCCAGGTACAAAGGTCTGATGGGTGCCTATCTCATGGTGGGCCGCAGTTCTGTTCCGTCTTCAGTCCTTAATGAGTCTGTGTCCTTTTGTGCCCTTGCATTGTTAGATTTGTTGATCTGTTTTAGAAAACCCTGAAAAACAGAACAGATTGGTGATGTGCCTGCACTGTTGATAACCGTTTAATAGGAGTTGTTGGCCACATGGTTTTGGGGAATTGTTAAAAAATTTCCCTGTTGGACTATAATATTTGGTAGGGGAGTAGATTTCAAAGTGGAGTTTTAAGTGAAAAATACAAATCTCATTCCATCAGAAACACTTCTTTTAGAGCACATCCAAATAGCACAGAATTCTGCTCACTTCAGCAACATATACACAAATAGTAAAGAACTGAGGATGGCTGTATTAACCAGAAACCTATAGAACTGCTTGTTAAACTAAGAACCTGTTGTGCTGAGTGCTTTGATGCTATTTAAAGCTAACAGGGCTCTAACTTCTAAGTTTTACTGCAACAGAATGAAAGAAAATTATTAAACTGCCAAGTGACTCAAGTTACTCAGTTGTCTACTTTGAATAAGGCAGACGAGCAACAACTGTGGTTGTAAAAGCTGTTGGAAACAGCTGCCTGCTATTTCCAGATAGAAGCAGCGTGGGGGCTCTGCTGAGGGCGTGCCTTGGTTACCGAAAGGCCTGAAGGTGGCAGATCTGTCAGCACTGGCACCTGGGGTATGACGTGGCTCTTGGACGTGCAAACGTTCTTTAGGAAAAGATCCATATTAAACTTCTCAGAGGGCCCCAAAAGCCAAAACCAGCCATGAGCATCAAAGCTACTTGGATTACTCTTTCCAGAACACCTACACAGCACCCTTTGGGGCTGCCCTTACTGAGGAACCCATATAATCAGTATTCTGTTAAGCTTCACTTCTCTCCAGGGAGCAGGTCTGAGTAAGGGAAGTGGTCCAGCCTTGAAGAGCTGAGCCCAGATCTTATTCTATACAAGAAATAGGGCTGGGTGTGAGTCTTCAACACAGACCCCAGGATGGAGACAGTAATAGGAAAGGAAATGGTTGCTTACCAAAAACTCATGGTCCATAAAGTAGGGCTTTTCTGGTGATCCATCATTTGTTTCCAGATCAACAGTAAAACACAGGAAAAGTGCATCCAGCACCGTTTCAAACACAGATAAAAAACTATGAGCTACTAAGCAGGCAAAAAAGGCTACTAGTAACAGAGGGATTGCCCACACCTGCAGCGTGCGGTTGTAGTTAAATGCCATCAGTCCTCCAAATACAGTGAAGTACACTACCAGCACCTGTCCAGAAGCAAGTTTGTAGAAAACCTTTATAAGTTGGTTAGAATACATATTCTAGGAAAGTTTGTTTTCTTGTCATACAGATAATTGTGTGTGTGCATGCATGCCCACCCTATTGTAGAGTACCTGTCAAAAATTCAACAGAATGGAACAAGAATAAATGAAAGCAGGGATATCAAAAGAAAGCAGTCTGAGAGGTAAAAACATGTACTTTAGTTTTATCCATTTAGACATATGACAAAACCTCAGCATTTTTATTTTAGTTTTTCATGTAATACCACAAGAAGCATTTTCCACTTAAAACCTTTTTTATAAACACCATTTTTTAAAAGAGTGCAACAATCCTGGGTTGCTGTAGTTAATAAAGTGTCAGTTTTACCCCCTGGGGATTAAAGTGGAAAAGCTTTCCAATGCTGGTGTGGGGAGATAATAGGATTATTCAGGCTTTTGAGATATGTAATTATTATATTTCCAGGCACACAATTACAGACCATGATGCACCTAATTCTTTAACTGATGTAATGGAGTCCATCTGGGGTCCATTGCTCCTGGATGTCTGTAAATATGAACGTGGAAATCTAAATGGTACTGCATTCAAAAGACTAAAGAATCACTGGTAGTCATATGCTTATTAAGAGACGATTAGCCTTTATACATTTTTTTCTTTTTTGGGGGGTACAGGGGATTGAACTCGGGCCCTTGTGCTTGCAAGGCAGGCAGCAGAACCACTGAGCCAAATCCCCATTATACCTTTCTTACAGGAAAAATAGGAAATTGAGTTAGTATCTAAAATAAATGTCTATTAAGTTCCAGAAATTTTTGGAATTTATTAGAGAAAATATGTAAACAAGCATCCATCTAATAGAACGATAATGTATTAGTCTGTTTTGAAAGGCATAATTTTTTTTTGTCTTTGAAACATCTCTAAGGCTCAGCTGAACCTTAAACACATACGCAGTTAGCACACACTTGAAATCCAAGGATGTTATGACTTGTTATTGGCATTTAACTACGATAGTCATGTATCAGAGACATTCAGCAAATACCACAGAAACAAAAATCCTAAATGAGCAGAATTCCCAATACTTGCATCACAGACGGTGATGTTGATTTTGTTCACCTGTGGGATATGCTGGGAACCATGGTATTCATGTCAGATGTAGGGAAATGGTTGGAAGGAGCAAAGATGTTTAGCTTGGAACAGAGAGGACATGGGGAGAAGGTTGGCATGTCTCCGGCCAGGAACTTGAAGGGCAGTCAAGTAGAAGCAGGATCAGGTAAAATGAGATGTGCAGAATTATATCCGGGGAATGGAAAGAGAGGTACTGTGATTCACAGTATAAAGAACCTGCTAACTTGAAGCGTGGTCAGATAGGGACTGGGACAGGGGCTGATGCACCACGGGCATCAAGATGTCAGTTGCTTTTCCTAAAACCTAGAAAAAACATGGGTTATGTTACAGGTATGAAGTCTGAAGCTAGAGTTGTGAAAGATTCTAATTTCAGGGCTGTGTCCCTTAAGCTGTTGAGATTCTAAGATCCTCCTTCACTCACTGTACAGTTACAATTTTTTAAATTATACATGTTTAAGTATAAATTATTTTTTAAGTATACATTATTCACATGGCAACAGAAATGTAACCTCGGCCTCACTTAGGATATTAACAATCCATCTTGTTTATAGGTTTAATTGCCCTTAAGTAATGAACAGATTTCATGAGGATTGATCCAACCTCATTTTATAGTAGGAAAATCCCATAAAACATACTCATTGTCTGAGATTAGTAACATTTTCATTTTAGTCATGAAAAGATGAAAATTGGAACGGTAGAGAGATTGGTTTCAGGAGAGAAAATAAGTCCAAGATAAAAATCTTGGCTCTAACTATTGTGGGAGCTTGGACAAATTATTAAGCCTTTGTTTCATCATCTGCAAAACAGATGCCTCGGATTGAGGATTAAATAAAACGATGAAGCATAGCACCTACTAAAGAGCATCAGTTCCCTTTCAAATTAACTGCTTGGATGGCTTGCTTGTTTTGGTTTAGTTTTGTGTTTTGTTTGAGACAGGGTCTTTGCTATATAGTCCAGGCTGGCCTTGAGCTCCTCAGCCTCCCATCCTGGGATTACAGGCACGTGTGCCACTGCTCCAGCTGCTTTACTGTTTTGAATCCCCAGTTCTTTATTCATTTAGTCAAGGCAGCTCACCTTTCCCAGAAAAATTACGAAGTCTCCAAAACAGTTGACAGATGTAAAATGACTTGGATTCTTGGATAAAACTTTGAGTGCATCTTTTGCCGATGTGCAAAAATCTGTCCCATTAATGGCAGTTGTCGTATATGCGTTCTGAAACAGAAAGCAACAGTAAACATGGAAGGATTTTTATGATTGTTTTTTCGAACAAACATAATGACAATACAGAATGTGCAAAATATAGAAAGATACTGACTAAATCCATTATATTAACCTTCACGAATCAGTTCATTCTCAAAGTCCCTTTCAGTTTCTGATTGTATTCAAATATATCTTTGTATATTTGCAGTAAATGAAAGTGGGTTGAACATAACTACTATAACATATGGAAATGATGCTGAAAGCATAAATTATTTTTTAATGCACAGCAGAGTCGGGGCAGGAAAGGAATCAGGCCCTACTGATTTGTGAGTCAAGTCCAAGGGTGTTAAAATATGCAAGGAATCAGTAAAGGCTCTAGGGTCAGGAACTGGGGATTTCACCTCTTAGGGGTAAGAGACAATGTGCAGGCTCTTACTAGGGAACTCAGCTCCCTGCACAAATTCAGAATTCATACTCAGAACCCCCAGGACACTGGTAAAGAAGCGCATTATCTACCTGGGGCCACTGAAATTATTAAGGTGAAGGCAAGTACAACGCAAAACCACCTCCTCCCCCAGCCCTCCAGCTGAGAATGAGAGTCCTAGGGAAAGCTACCTGCACAGAAGAAGAAATGCTCCCAGGAACAATCTGTCTCCACACCAAGGAAATGAACACAGGAAAACCTGCATCCTGTGACTAAACTGGAAGAAAGTATTCAGGGAGGTGTGCCGTAGATGCTAAGAGAAAAAGGAAGGAACAGTAACCAGAAGGAATCAGCAGGATGGTATGAAAAAGGAGAGTAGGAATCGAACTAAATAGAAATTCTAGAAATGAAAAGTACATGCTTTAAAAGGTGCATGGCTATAATTATATATCTGACTTCCCTTTTATATAAGCATTTGCATGTTGCTGCATGACATAATTTTGATTTTTAATTCTGATGGGTCTCTGTGCATATATGTAACCGGGACATACTAACTGTTTCAAATATTTTGCTATTGTAAATATGCAACAAACATCTTAATTTCCTGAGTTTTGGATAACTTCTTAAGGATACATTTTCAGAAATAGAATTACTAAATCCAAGAGGGATGTGTGTGTGTGTGTGTGTGTGTGTGTGTGTGTGTTTATATTCACATGAGATACACAGGGTTATTTTTCTAAATTAACTTCCCCTTACAACTATATGATAATATCAAGACCATCTACTTCTCAGATTTCTCTTACTTGTACTGCAGCTTACGTAAGGAGTTTATACCTTTAAAGAATTTATAGCTTTCCTAGAAAAATGTTACCTGCTTACGTTGTCATTCCTTTTGAGCTGGATAAAGAGAGTTATTTATTCCACAACACACAAATTAACCATTTTGAACACCCCTCCCAAAACACCATAAGCAAACCTGTCTGAAGTCCACTACAGTAATCCAGCCCCCACACCATTGGCGCTGGTCCTAATCAGAGTTCATGGGAGAGGAGACTGAGAGGACTAATTAATATGTATGGGATGAAACAAGCGGAATTAACTGATTCGATTTACCAAACTCTCACTTCACAAAGCCAACTAGAGAGACAGGGTTGGTTCTCAAAGACCAAAGGCTGGTAACCAGCTCAGTGACAAGAGGCCATGCTTTCCTCAGAGGGGATTTCAGTCAGGGCTCAGAAGAAATCCCTTCAAAAATGCCTTAATAGTTTTCCACAGTGAGTTTTTGCTTTCTGATTTAAATAAAATACTCGTCAAATTTTCTTTCAAAATCACTCACCAGCACCCTCTATTTCCCTTTGCCCTTCTCCCTGTTTTTGCTACCATCCCAATGTAGCTACTTATTACAAAAAAAGTAAATAACAAGATCACTAACCAGCTGCTGGGTAGGAAGCAGCTGTAGTCTGGGGACTTGAGTCTTGGGCAGGGATGTGGAAACTCATTTGCTCACACTATTTAAGTATCCTCAACTATCTAAGGTTCTTGGAGTCCTCATGACCCAAAACACACATGTAGTGTGGGTGGGTGAAGAATGACATTCTTGTTCTTAATCAAGATCAAAGGTGTTTCCCCCAGGTCTCCTGGTGAATCATCCAGGCAATTAAAAAAAAAAAAAAAGATTATTCTACCCTTCTGGGTATTACACATTCATTAGGCCAAAATTCTATTTAAAAGCGTGGTGGTTAGGGTAAGCACCGGTTGTGTGGCCAGACTGTCTGTGGGTTCAAATCCCAGGTCTACCACTGGCAGCTACTGGTCTCGGGCCAATAATTTAGCCTAAGACCTCCATTTCCTCACCTCTAAAGGGAAGTATAGCACCTATTGCAAAGGGATGTTGGGAGGATTAAAGAACACACTCTATAAAGCATTTAGCAATGCACCTGGCGATGGAAAGTGCACAGTAAAGGGTGGTTATTATCATGCACAGCTCACTGAGGATGACCTCATTTATGACTGGGAACGCACAGTCACCTTTTAGTATCTGAGGAGGTGTGGGAAGGGCCAGGCTTGCTTTACTCTCAGGATTTAACCCTTCACACAGAGGTTCGAGAAGGGCAGGACATGCTTCTCAGACCATGTCCCAGGGCCCACTGTGGTCATCCTGTGCCATGCAGCCCATTTCTTTGCCTCCGCTCTTTTCATCATCACCCTATTGCACCCCCGCTCTAAACTGAGGTTCCTAGTGGGCTTCCTGAGTCATAAGGGGGAATTTTTTCCTGAAGCCCACTGTCTCATAGTCAATTTTTTTTTTTTTGTACCGGGGATTGAACTCGGGTCCTTACGCTTGCAAGGCAGGCCTACTGAACCGCTGAGCTAAATCCCCGGCCCTCATAGTCAATTTAGTACCATCGCTCATAAGCAATAAAAATAGATTTGCTCCTTGGCTAAAAGGATTAAAGGTAAAAATGGCACTTTCCACGCATATGTTGACTCCACAGATTTTTGTGGGTCCATAACCATTTATCTTTTCTTTAAGGTCTCACAGCTCACTGAAAGGGGGCATTAAAACCACTCTGACAGGGAAATTATACATGCCTTCCTGCAGTTACTACACCACCAGCATTTCACCGCAGAATTCAACCCAGAGTGCCTAGAATTAATGTCTGGGTGAGAGGTAGAGCGGGAGGGATCACTGTGGACCCAGGATATGGACCGAACATTTCTGCTGTTTCAGCATTAACTAATTCATGCTCATCCGAGTGGAAGCTGCTTTCTTGTCAGGTAGCTAGAAGATGGACTGCACTGAACTGTGCTGAGCGTTTATGTGTGCCTGGGCCTACAGTTCAGGGATTGTGCGTCGTGGTCATCTGCAGGCCTGACGGTACGTGGAGAGGACCGGCTGTGGCGAAGTTCAGGAAGCACATTGTGTTAGTTATGAAAGTGATGAACTCAGGAAACCTGAAGGCTAATCTTTCAACAAGGAAGCAAGAGGTGGTGGCATCTGGCTTTTAATGTATGACCACACAAAATTCCGTGCACGTGTTTTTTAGCATCACCAAATAGGTGGCTACTTATGTGTGCTGACACTGAAGCGACACAAATACAGAAGATAAACAAAAGATCCCAATGTTACAATGGTAGTGCCCCACACTGGGTCCCAGTTCTCATTCCCTTGCTTGGTTTGATTAAAGCTCCTTCTCTGATTAGATCCGACATTCATGGACTGCCCACGTGGGACTGTCTCAAGCTGCTACAAGGAGTAGATCCCCAAGCTGGGGGTAAAGGGGAAGTGGGGCTGAGGGCTGGATCAGGGAAGACCTTCCAGACCTGGGGATTTGAGCTGGTCCCTATGTTGCCTGTCCCGGGCAGGAGCGAGGCAGCAGCAGGAGCCAGCAGGTGAGACAGGTGTGGATGTGACTCAGTGCACCTGTCAGGCACTGTTTCCTGATTTGCCACACAAAGTGTCATCGAAGATGCAGATAAATGCATAGGGCAAGGTGTGGGAGACCAAGCCTCCTTGCCCTTTCTGGGCACCCCCACCCTCCAGGAACCATTTGGAAGCTGTCTGAACTCTGTCCTTGTAAGTTTTTATGGGAACTTCATTACGTAGGCATGACTGAAGCATACGCAAAAGGGGCGAACTAATGCGACCAGGCCGGGTGGGGAAACCAGCAGAGCCACCTGCTCAGATTCCCCCTCACCTTGGGGCAGGACCCTTTAGGAAATGAGGGTCTTATTTCCTATACGAGACATATCATGTTGGAAAAACTTAAGAATCTTTCCATCATTTGCCTTGGAAATAAAAAGCAGGTGAAAGGAAGCAGAAGGCTACAGGGAGCCAGACTTTGCTTCCTGGAGCTGTTTCTTAGGCATAAAGTGCCCCAGCACCAGTCTAGTCACTTCGGAAGTAACAAAGGCTATGGGAGCAAGGATCTAGGAACCAACGATGAAATAGGTACGTCACAATATCACAGTATATGATAATATCACCCAAGTTTGGGGGCTCTCCCCCCATGCCTCCATACTGCCTACGTGGCTTCCTGGAGTTATCGGAAATACAGTGTGACAACACTTCCACAGATGGAGGAACACTAGTCCTATTAGCAGCAGTAGGCCAGGGGCCAGGCCCCGAAACAGTGAGCTCTTGTCTGGGGAGGAAATGCAATCACTAGGAAGTGTAATTCTTCCCAAGTACTCCGGCTCCCCAACACTCCACCTCAGATGATGCCTTGTGATACACCCCAAACTGCCTCCGTGGCCCTGGCAGACACTTCCTCACTTGTATCTGTGGCTGTTGTAATGTTTTCGATCAGCAGGCAGGTGTGCAACATCCATATACAAAGGAATGATAATGGCAAACACTCGCCGCGTGCCTACCAAGTGCCAGGCTCTGGGATCCGTCTCCCTGAATGCTTTAGCTCACGTAATTCTCTTAACAATGCAGTGAGGTGGTTGAGAGGAAACTACAGCACAGAGAAGCCCCGGCGCGGCGCCTGACTGATGTTGCATCACTCCTACACGGAGCGGACTTCTGATGCTTCCAGCCCATCAGCAGGAAAATATTTGTTTTTCCTTACAAGTATTACTATAT